ATATATATATATATATATATATATATATATATATATATATATATATATATATATATATGCGTGTTGTATTGTAACGTCAACAGATTGTCACAAGGAGACCAAATTTTTACTCACTCCACTCCGGTATAATTGATCCCTATCGTCGCAGATACGTCATCAATCCAAAGCAAAGGCACAATGACACCGGCAGTACCGCAATGAAGCCCAAGAAGTTCGAAGACGTACACTACGGGCCCGTGCTGGGACTAAGCAGTCACCCGCGCAAGGGCGAGGTAGACCTGAGTGATCTGATCCTGTCATGCTCTGCAGATTGGACACTGAAGCTCTGGCACAAATCGGTAGGCACAATGCGAGTAGTGCCCAGTTTTTGCCCACCGAGTGCCCATGTACATCTATGCTGTGCAGCGCTTTTAGTTCCAATACATTGCCGCACTCGATCCTAGAATAGTCAAAATCTCTGTTTTGGAAGTAGGGCTGATTCTGATCATCTCGTTCGTTCACGTACTATACAGACACAGAAGTCGATCATCACCTTTGAGGATTCCGCGGATTACGTATACGACGTGGCCTGGTCGCCCGTGCACCCCACTGTATTTGCCTCAATCGACGGAGCGAGCAATCTAAGCCTGTGGAACCTGCTCTCTTCGCAGGAAGTATGTGCACACCGCCCCCTTTCCTTTAACCTCATTAAGTATGCACTTCATGCGTATATCCGTGTGATGACTGGTCTGCGAGCACATCGGGGGCTAGTAACTAGCATATCATTTCTTCATTTGTCGGCAGGCTGTTTTTAAGTCTCTAGTGCCTCTGGCTTCGCAATTGCAGCGGCGATTCTGGTGCATGAGTTATATTACAACAGTTGTGCCAATCTCTCCTTCTCCTCTCGTACGTTAATTCCCTCAGGTGCCCGTGAAGACTGAAGTAGTCAATGCAGACGGTGCTGCGTTAAACTGTATCGAATGGAACGCAAACGGCACACGTGTCATGGTGGGCGATTCGGTTGGCCGGTGTCACTTGTTCGATATAGGAGAGGTGAGTATGTTTGGGGTTCAGGATCTGAGGATTGATTGTGTATCCGTGAAGTGAATATCATCTTGATGGGATTTGGTGCGAAGGATTTGTATAGTACATACGAGAATATGCTGTGTTTGCCGATGCCGCATAAGAGTGCCCGGTTAGATGCGAGACGACAGTCGTTACCCAAACTAAACCAGATATGCTGTACAGTTACTTGTATGTGAATGTACCACCATTGATTCACTTGGCACTGCGATCTACTACACTTTAAGAGATCATTTATATACCACGCTATCGACTTGTCAGCATCGGGGGATGACCCTGTCATCTGATGTCAGTTTGAGCGGCTAGCTATGCTTACCGACACCAATACAAGCCTGTACTACAATTTATATATCTCCTTTGTCCTTTCCCAACTTATCTCAGGCCTTCTGCAAACCAAGGGAAGACAGCTGGACAGCCCTGCGCGACATGGTGCGCGAGTTATTAGCTGATAATGCGACGGCGTCGTGAATGAAATAGGTTGGCATCTGTGCCAAGGATAATAAAATAAGCGCATCGCAGACAGTGTCTATGTATAACATGCTATGGCATTAGTATTTATCCTGTTCGTAGTCAAGTGACTTTATTTTGGTGTGCATGAGAGAAGCGTGGTCTATTTAGATTATTTAAGTGGGTATGTTGATAGATGGTACTTAGAAACTCTCATCTGTTGGAGCGGAATATAGAAGTGGGTATGTCGATTAGATAGTACTCAGATACTCTCATCTGCTGGAGCGTGGGCTAGTTAGATTTTCGAAGTGGGTATGTCGATTAGATGGTACCAAGATACTCTCATCTGCTGGAGCGTGGGCTATTTAGATTGTAGAAGTGGGTATGTCGATTAGATAGTACCTAGATACTCTCAT